GGCGCAGCCCTACTTTATCTTTTTGCTATTCTCCCTCACTGCCCGCTGCCCGCCTCGGGAGGGGGCTCAAAAGTGGCCAGCTGGCCAGCTCTTGAGCCCCCAGGACACGAGGCAAGCAAGGGATCTCCCTGGGCGTTTGGGGGCTGCTTTTTTTGCCGCCCCCTGCAAAGTGCCGCCCAAGGCAAATGCCTTGTTTGCCTCGCAGAAGACACGTCCCTGAGTGTTTGTGTCAGTGTATATATCTGTGTCTGTGTGTCTGTCTGTCAGTGAATGTGTGTGTCTATCAGTGAGTGTGTGTCAGTGTGTGTGTGTGTGTCTGTCAAATCAGTATGTCTATGTCAGTGCCATGTTTATGTCAGAGTTTGTCAAATCAGTGAGTGTATTTTTGAGTGTGTGTCTGTCAGTAAATGAGTGTGTGTCTCTGAGTGTTTGTGTGTCTGTAAGTGAATGTGTGTGTGTCAAATCAGTGAGAGTGTGTATCTGTCAGTGTGTGTCAATCAGTGAGTGTGTCAGTGAATGTGTGTGTCTGCCAGAGTGTGTCAAATCCATGAGGGGGGTGTCTGTCAGAAAGTGTTTGTCCATCAGTGTATGTGTATCTGAGAGTGTGTATCTGTCAGTGAATGGGTGTTTCAGTGTGTGTCTGTCAGTGAAAGTGTATGTTGGTTAAACAGTGTGTGCCAATGTATGTATCAGTCAGTGAGACTGTGCGTGTTTGAAAGGATGAAAATGTTTAATATTTATAATGTACCTGCGCACAGTAAGTACAGGGTGGACCAAAATTCAGAATGGGGTTTGAGGAGTCAATAACTTTTTATTAATGAACCAATTTCATTGATATTACATACAATGAATGCTTAACATATGGAGATTTGTTTGACTAGGTGACATTTAGATGACATCTTTTAAATGAGCTCCATTTGCTACCTTGCAAAGTTGGGCATATACGATTGCATTGTTCATAACATTAGTTTATGTTTGAGGCTCCATCGCTCGAATTTCTGCACAGATACTCTCCTCAAGCTGTTCAAGCGTACACGGTTGTTTCATGTACACCCCCGCTCCTTCAGATACAGCCACAGAAAGTAATTTGTAGCTGAAAGGTCTTGTGAATGTGGTGGCCAATTGATTTGAAAAATAAATTCCACTATTTTTACTTGTTGTTCCTTTGTGAACTTATCCATGGTGAATGTCCCAAAACTCAGTTATAATATTTACCCGGAACAAAAAAATGGAACTGCTAATAAGTTATTTACCTGTGAAATCCTACTATGAATTTTGGCCTACCTTTTATATATATTGAATAGTATATGTGGAACTGCACTCACTCCCACAAATCTGAGATAGGGTGCTTGCTGAGCCGGAATCAAACACCAGATTTCCAAACATTAGTAAAATGATAGGGGTCCAGGCAATAATAATAATAGGGGTCCAGCTTGACAAAGACCTTTTGGGGTTGAAACGTTGCTGTTGTGGTTCTCAATAAAGTGCCTGTCTTGAACCAAGAAGTCCCTGGACCCCTATTATTTTACCTTTTTTATATACACTTGCATGTAATATTAATACATTTGTATTTTATTAAAGTGTAATGTGGTTATTAAATAGTTGCATACTAACAAGCATTAAATTCCACTTGCATATAGTGCTAGCAGAAATGCTGGCAACTGTATAGATTTTAATTTAAAGCTCTTTAAAATAACACCCTTCGGCTACCAGTCAATTAAAGGACCGCTATAGGCACCCAGACCACTTCAGCTCAATAAAGTTGTCTGGGTGCCATGTCCATCGAGGGTTAACACTGCAGTTGTAAACATAGCAGTTTCACAGAAACTGCTATGTTTACATTAGGGTTAATCCAGCCTCTAGTGGCTGTCTCATTGACAGCCGCTAGAGGCTCTTCTCACTGTGATTTTCACAGTGAGAAGACGCTTGCGTCCATAGGAAAGCATTGAGAAATGCTTTCCTATGGACTGATTGAATGCACGCGCGGCTCTTGCTGCACATGCGTATTCGTCGGAAGAGGGAGGAAAGTCCCTTCCTCCCCCTAGAGTCCGGCAGAAGGGGGGAAATGAGGGTGGGGGGACCTATTAACACTATCGTGCCAGGAAAACGAGTTCGTTTTCCTGGCACTATAGTGGTCCTTTAAATCCTCAACATTAGAAATATGTGGAACATGGGATCTAATGCCATAACTTGAGTGACAGGTGGTCCTCTTGCTCCCTGTCACTGTGTTACTCCCTTAGCAGGCACTTGCTGGGGTAGTATGGGATGCACTGATGTCTGTGTGTTGGCAGTGAAGCCAACGTGTTAGTTGTCAGCACAGGGGTTTGACATCCTTAGAGAAGTGACCTCAAACAGAGCCAATGACTCCACACTCACAAGCAGCCAAACCCTTTATACAATTGCACCAACTTCACATATACATATCACACTCAGGCAACCAACACTATCACACTCAGCCAAGCCCCACACACAATCACACTCAAGCACCCCTATACAATCACACTCAGCCAACCTACACTATCACACTCGGCCAAGCCCCACACACAATCACACTCAGGCACCCCTGCACAATCACACAGCCACCACACACTTCCAACTCTTTCACATGACGCAGTGGGAAGCAAGGAGAGTGGTAAGGGGGACCCTTGTTTGATTCTTGTACAGGGGCCCTGTGATTTCTAGTTACGCATCTGCTTCGTAAGATTTTTGATTATAATATTTTATATCCCTGATTGTTCATTGTTTTCTCACAGTGCTATGATTGATGTATGTTTAATATTGCAAAATATTAATTTATAATTATTATTATTGTAATTATAACAACTGATTATAACAAATACTTCAGGGGTTGTTACAGTGTTTTTTTATTTACTATTATTTATTATTTACATTTATCTACATCATTAAAGTATACATATTACTGCATTAATTGCATTAATTTGCCCTTATATCAACACATTGCATGACCAGTATTGCCTTTTAAATTGGAAAAAGCAGGCATCTGACCGGTGCCTGGGTCTTAGACAGTACCAATTTAATGTACCTTTCTTTTGACTGAGTAACGGCAAAACCTTTGTGTTTTGTAGTGGCAGTGATGAGGTCCATGAGGAATATGTGCCTAGGAATTGTATAATACAAGACAACTGGCCAGTGGGCATTAAACTGCTGTGCCTGGAACCCTTGCAATGCCACGTTTGGTGGAATTAGCCAATTAGCCGATAATGTTTTGGAAATCAGTCTTCCCCTGACTAGTCAAGAAGTGAACCAAGTTTGCAACCAGCCTAAAGCCCCAAATGATATGGTAACCATGTCTTATGAGGTAGAATGCGTTGGTGAGAGGAAATAGTGTCTTAGTGTTTAATAATCAGATTGGATACTCTTTTACTGTTCTTCTACTAAAACATTCTTTATATCAAAATTGTCCTGTCTATTTAGAGGCTATTAAAAATGATGATGTGAAACCACCCATATCTCGGCTAATTTCTCTGTCTTAGCCTGCAGCTTTAATATATGAATTTTGCCCTTATCTCTGAATACTGTAAATAGTAGGTCCTTCAAGATTATCATTTTACATTTTACTAAATAGTTAGGTCACAATGAAACCCAATATGTCATTTCAATATTATATTAAATGTTTGTTTTTTTATGCTCATTTTTATATTTTAACATAAATGTATTAATTTGTATGGAATCATATTAAATGTGAGAATGCTAAATTAAAACAATTAAAGAAACAAACATATTTTTAAATCAATATACTGAAATTATCTAGAATTATTTTTTTTGTCTTTGCAATTAAAATATTAGAATCTGTATGTAAAGAACGCTGGTATTTCATATACCCATGCGTTAGATTCCTCCCGAACTGCTAGGTACTTAATGATTATATACAAGACAAAACAGAGGAAGGTTGCGCCTATATGTACTTAATGTATTTATTAATGCAATGTATATAAGTATGCACACTTGCTCAAAGTTCCTTCATTTCCCCTCTCCCCCCTTCCTCCATCTCATTATTTATTTTTCTAATTTCTATTTTGTACACTGAGCAATCACAAGGACAGTCTTTGAATTGCTTTTAACAATCTTTGGGCATAGTCCATGCCCACACATTTATTCCCCCTCCTTCCCCTACAGCATCATTAGCTGTACACACACCCTGGCCATTGGCATCATAACCACGCCCCCGGCCAATCGACACGCCCATCCTATCTATTCCAGTTCACTCCCTCCCACCAGTATGCTACTAGTAGCAGCCCCTCCTGAACATTACAAAAATATAGGTAGTGTTTGCACTCAATTACTCAATGGTGCCGGTATTTAGAGGTATTCCCCCTTCTATGTAACCTCAACAATCTATACACTACAAAAAATAATAAAATACCGCACTCCAAAATATTGTTATATACCAAAGAAATTGATGAGTAAGGTTCTATTCAATATGCAAGAAGATGAAATTTAATAAAATATACACTTAATATCTAAATTCATATATCTACACATAGCAGTCTGATGATCGTCTAAATTCATATATATACACTTAGCAGTCTGATGATCTCATACAATACATGAAAAATTCATCAAAAAATAGATAATAAATCACTTATCCTATAGATACTGCATTGAAATGAGTTCCAGAGAAAATTCATCTATGTTACAAATCTATCCACACGTCCTAGGCTATGCATAGCAATCTACTTGTCTAGTGTATTAATAGATCCATTCCTTACAAAAAATTATGTATATACACAAGAACAAAAAAAGTGTATAGTGCAACCAATTTGCAAAAAAGAGCAAAAAGAAAAAAAGGAAAAAGAAAAAAAGGAAAAAGAAAGAAAAAAACAAAAAAACGTAAAAAAGGTGAAAAAAAGTGAAAAAAAGTCCTTTGTAAGTTCACTATATACGTATACAGTGTAAGTATGGTTGGATCTCACCACTTGGGATGTTGCAGTCAAAAATTCAAACGTGCACTGTAAGTCTTCCACTGACTGGACTTGTCCTTAGACGACATAAGTGTATGTGAGACATATGTCCTCCATCCATACCATAGCAGTGAAGTGTGGATGATGGTTGAATAGACCACGGGCGGCAGTGTAAACCTTATGCGGCTGAATGAAACCACGGGCAGCTGAATAATCCTCGGGCTGCGCGCTCGGGATGTGCTGTCCCTTCGATGGCCCTTGCTTGTCCGCTGGAGAACGCTCATTACATGCCGATTCCGGCGGTAAAAAGTCCTTCCACTTCCGTATTGACGTGATGACGTCTTCCTGATACGGAACGTGATGCATAATGAGAAATAAACTTTATTGACACTATAATCTTAACAACAATGTTAATCACAAAGAACTTTGTTGCTTATGATATACAGAGAACAGTTATCAATAATAGTTGCTCCAAAGGACTATATTTAAGAAAAATAAATATGTATAAATAAGATCCTAGTAACACAATTCCAGGATGAAACAAATTGCAAAAGATTGTTAAAATTTTTTTATGTATCATATTCAATTAATTAATTAGTGAAAAGCAGGGAACTGTTCATAACCAGAAGTAAATTAAATAAATTAGAAATATATTCCATTCAAAAAGTCTCAAACCCCAAAGTCAATCAAAATCCTTTATATATATTCTTTGGGAATTCATCAAAGTTATATCTCCTAATCTAAGTTACTTAGTAGTTGCTCACCTGTAGCACGGTGTCAGGGGTTACTTAAAAAGAAAAGAAAAGAAAAAGAAAAAAGATAAAACTTAAATAATAAGAAATAAAAAATGAAAAATATATAATAAAGGAAAAGTGAGAAAAAGAATGCAAAAATATTGCTGATTGTTGTAACACAACAATTTATAACCCGTGAAAAAAGGGATGCATAATACTAAAAAGAATAAAAAAGGAAAAGAAAAGAATAAAAATTATAAAAAATCGATCATTAACAGTAATCCTTCACATACCAGTCGTGCAGTCGTGCACCAGTCGTGCAGTGTCACCCTGTGTCTCGGGATACTTATTGTGGGGGACCCTGGAGAGATCCAACCAGGTTGCGGACCTGCATAGGTCAAAATGTAGCCGGGAAAGAGGATCGGACCACGAGTGGTCTGGTGGGAGCACTTGTAGCGTTACTTACCTTAGCCGGGGGCCGGTCGTGGTCCTCTCTTCAAGCCGCGCGCGGTCCTGCGGCTGCACGAGCCGCGCGCGGCTCATCCGACTACTTTAGATGGAAGGCGGGCAGTGACCGCGTGAAGCGGTCACGTGTCCCGCCTGAAACTAAGAGCGCGCCGCGAGTCTCGGGCGCGCTCCTAAAGAGACAGTGGGAGCCTAATTGCCAAAAGGCTCCCATTGGCTCCTGTCATACCACACTCCCTGTACAATTACCTATAGGGGGTGTGGAAGTGACAGGAGCCAATCACTTTCGTTTTAAAGCTATTTAAACTTACCTTTTTCCCTTAGCTCGTTGCCCTATAGTGGTTTCTGTTTCAGTTCCCTTTAGCGCTTGTGGTGTTCAGTTGTGTTTTCTCGTATTGACTTTGGCTTTGTATTCTGACTTCGTTTTCGCTTTATCCTTATCTGTACTGTTTGCCGGCTTGCTGTTTTCCGTGTACCAGACCCCGGCTTGTCCTAGTTTTCGCTGTCTCTCTGTGCCCTTGACCTCGGTTTGTTCCTGGCTCTGTCTCCTCTCATATACGTCGAGTCCGGCCATTCTAAGGTCCGGTAGACGTATCTCTCCTCTGTATTTGCCTCTGTTTAGCTGGATCCTGCGTGTAGGGGTATATTCTCGTTACATTACGATGGGGCCATGGACCCCGCAGATTTAGCTCAACAGATGGCGTCCCATGAGGCAAGATTTGTAGAGCAGGATCACCGTATGGATCAGATAGCTCAAGCTCTCCAGACGCTCCTAGCTAGAACCGTTCCAGCAACCACACCTAACCCTCCTACGCCCCTTCTCCCTGAAGTATCTACTTTGCCTAATACTTCGGCCCATTTAACACCTCCTCCTAGGTATGGAGGGGACTCTAAGACTTGCAGAGGGTTCTAGGTCTGTGGCTGATTATGCTATTCAGTTTCGCACTCTTGCTTCGCAGGTAGATTGGACCAACAATGGGTTAACTACTGCCTTTATGGAAGGTTTGTCAGATACGATATTGGATGAGGTAGCAGCTAAGGAGCTTCCTATTGCCTTAGAGGACCTTATCGATTACCTCATCGATATAGATAATAGAATTCGTGACAGGCTCTATACCAAGAACAGGAATAGACGTTTTGTTACACCCATTAACCCCAGAGTTAATATACCAGAGAGTGTTAAAGTGTCTGAGGAGGAACCTATGCAATTAGGGGTTGCCAAACTCTGATACTGAGAAATTACATAGGAGAAGGGAGGGACTCTGCCTATACTGTGGTAGGAGAGACCATATGGTAAAGGAATGTCCTTTACTCCCGGAAAACTCTCGCACCTAAGACCTTATAGGGGACTGGCCTTGGGTGTGATATCTAAGTCTCCTAAATTGCCTCCTAACTGCTTGCTTCTCCCGGTTTCTTTATATATGGGAGAGATTTGTATAGGTGACAACATATATGCTCTGGTTGACTCTGGGGCAGCTGAAAATTTTATAGACTCTGGCTTTATAAAGAGAAACAACATTCCTATCAGAGAGAAGGAGATACCCTTGGCCGTTGAGGCCATAGATGGTAGACCATTAAGTTCTCCAGTTGTTACTCATGAGACTGTACCATTACACATGTACACAGGGGTTTTACACTATGAAACCATTCGATTCCAGGTCATCTCCTCTCCCTCTTCACAGTTACTATTAGGGTATCCATGGTTACGTGCTCACAATCCCATTTTTGACTGGGAGACAGGGCAAATAAAATCATGGAGTGAGACCTGCCACGAGTCTTGTACGTTGGAAGTCACACCTTTGAATTCTATTGAGGTACCTACCAGTCCTCCTTTGTCTACGGTTATACCCCCTCAGTATTTATCTCTAAAGACTGTTTTCGATAAAGGGAGGCTGAGAAATTACCGCCTCACAGACCCTATGATTGCGCTATTGACTTGTTGCCTGGCACTATACCTCCAAAGGGCAGGGTGTACCCCTTATCGGTTCAAGAAAACCGTGTCATGGAGGAGTATATTAAGGAATCACTAGAAAAGGGGTTTATTAGGAGATCCTCTTCTCCAGCTGGAGCAGGGTTCTTCTTTGTATCGAAGAAAGAAGGTGATTTAAGACCGTGTATAGATTATAGAGGTCTAAACAAAATCACTATCAAAAATGCATACCCTATACCTTAAATTACAGAATTATTTGACAGGCTGAAACATGCCACTGTGTTCACTAAATTAGACCTTAGGAGTGCATACAATTTGATACGTATAAAGGAAAATCACGAATGGAAGACTGCATTCAACACTAGATCCGGTCATTACAAATACACTGTTATGCCATTTGGGCTTTGCAATGCCCCAGCAGTATTCCAAGAATTTATTAATGATGTCTTGAGAGATTTTATTCACACATTTGTTATCGTATACTTGGACGACATTTTAATATATTCTACTGATATACACACTCATCACAGACATGTTACGACAGTTTTGAAGACCCTTCTTGCTAATGGTCTTTATTGCAAGCTAGAAAAATGTCTGTTTGACCAAACCGAAGTCCAGTTCTTGGGGTATTTGATTTCCGCTAAAGGTTTTCGTATGGATCCTCAGAAGCTTGCTGCTGTAATAAAATGGCCTCTACCGCAAGGTCTGAAAGCTATTCAGCGTTTTCTTGGGTTCTCCAATTATTATAGACGTTTTATCAAAGGTTTCTCGTCCATTGTAGCACCTGTTACCCGTATGACTAAAAAGGATGGCAATACTCGTGTTTGGTCTACCGAGGCACTTCAGGCTTTTGAATTTCTTAAAACTACGTTCGCCTCTGCACCTATTTTGCAGCATCCTGTCCCCTCACTGCCCTATATTCTTGAAGTTGATGCTTCGGATATTGGGGTAGGTGCTGTCTTATCCCAAAGAGAGTCGCCTGAGAAGCCATTGCATCCATGCGGCTTCTTTTCTAAACAAATGTCCAAAGCAGAGAAAAATTATGATGTAGGTAATCGCGAACTCCTTGCTATTATTTTAGCACTTAAAGAGTGGAGACATTTGTTAGAAGGAACTAAGGATCCTATCCTCATTTTTACGGATCACAAGAACCTATCCTACCTTAGCGAAGCCAAAAGATTGTCTTCCAGGCAGGCTAGGTGGTCACTATTTTTGTCTCGTTTCAATTTTATTATCACCTATAGGCCAGGTGATCGCAACACTAAAGCAGGCGCTCTGTCCAGACAGTTCGAAACTACTGACAAACAGGAGATTGATGTTACTCCTGTCATTCCCCCAGACAGGATAATAGCTACTACTATTTTGTCTATTTCCTCGTCCCTCTTGCAGGCCATACAAGCGAAACAAAGCATGGCACCTAGCGAGAGGCCTAATGATAAACTGTTCGTTGATGTTCCTGAGAGACGGGAGATTATGTCATTATATCATGATACTAAGACTGCTGGACATCCTGGTATTTCCAAAACGGTGTCAGCTGTTTCTCGATATTTTTGGTGGGATTCCTTACGAAAGGATGTCACTGACTATATAAGTGCTTGTACTACTTGTGCCTGTATGAAATCCTCCCGTAGAGTTCCTTGTGGGCTGTTGCATCCGTTACCCGTTCCCGAGAGACCTTGGTCTAACCTGTCCATGGATTTTATTGTTGAATTACCCCTTCAAATGGTAACACAGTAATCCTGATGATAGTGGATCGGTTCTCCAAAATGGCTCACTTCGTGTCTCTTCACAAGTTGCCCACATCCAAGGAACTGGCTCATATCTTCGCTAGAGAAGTATTTCGATTACATGGGATTCCCGTATCTATTGTATCCGATAGGGGTAGCCAATTTATTTCCAGGTTCTGGAGGGCCTTTTGTTCAGAAATGGGTATTTCTCTCTCATTTTCTTCCGCTTATCATCCCCAGTCTAATGGGGCTGCTGAACGTGCCAACCAGTCTCTGGAGCAATACCTCCGTTGTTTTGTGTCTCACCATCAGGACAATTGGTCTGACCTGCTTCCTTGGGCTGAATTTGCTCGGAATAACGCCACTCATGATTCTTCCGGCAAGAGCCCCTTTTACGTTGTCTATGGCCAGCATCCCGTTGTTCTTCCGGCTGCATTCTCCTCACAGGGCATGCCAGTTCTGGATGAGCATTTGGCTGGTTTGCGTAAT